CAGGGAGCCAGGCAGTGGGAAGGTGCTGGATGGTCCCACCAAGCTGCTCAAGGCCAAGGACCTGGAGACCTTGCTGGGCATCCGGGACCAGGCAGCGCTCGTTAACAAAGCGATCGACGTCTTGATTTCGGATGCCAACGGGTTCAGCTCCGGGCTGAAGGCCTGCTTGGACAACGAGTGTGCGCTGGGGCTGCTGGGCGAGGCGGTGGGGAGTGGTGGAGAGAGCCCCAGTGATGCCAAGCTGATGAACGTGCTCCTGATGCGGCTGGGTGTGCTACAGCAGGACCTGGGCTGCTTCACAAGGAAGGTGGACCACCTCACCAGCGGCCTGAAGGAGCACACGGACTCTTTACCCTTCTCCAGCCCCAGCAGCCACGACACCACCAAAGAGGGGCTGCAGAAGGAACACGCCTCCGACTTCCAGGTAGGGGCTTCTTTCCATGTCCCCCCGCAGCAGCTGCCGCTTTATTTGCTGCCCTGTTCCTCACGCTTTAACAGAGCAAACCCCAATCCCCAGCGTCACCTCCCCCCTGCCTCTCCAGAGCAAAACCCAAACTAACACCTCACTGCATGCCAGTGGCACCGGGGACAAGGTAGGACTCTGCTCCAACAGAGTGTGCCCAGGGCAGGAGATGGTGGGCATCCTGGTGTATCCCAGCACAGGCTGCCCTGCCCATGCCTGGGGGCTCTCAGCTGTGATCCCACCTTAGCAGGGGCCAACTTTTTGGCTGCTCTCCTCCAGCTCAGCCCAGACATTCCCAGCTTGGAAGCTCTTTGCTTACTGAGGATGAGCTGGGTTGCAGGAGAGCAGGCTGAAGCCTCCCAAAAGCAGCCCTGGTTTCAGGGATCTCAGGTGCAAGAATCCTCAGCCCCCAGTAGTACCCAGGCAGGGTGATTTGGAAAGCAAAGGCTCCAGGGCAAATCTGCATCCATTAGGGAGCACCTCTGGGGCAGTGGAGAGCAGCTTATGTCCTGCCATCCCCCTCTTCTCCAAGAGGCCCAGCTTATGCTGGGCACAAGCCCCTTTCTGGAGCACACTCGCTTGTTCAGAGTCCTATTTTTCTGCATGTGATCCCACCAGCCCCAGGTCCCAGTCTCCCCCAGTCACTGCATGGCACCGTAACCGGTGTTTGCACATTTTTTCCCTCTTTCTCTCTTTTTTTCCCCCTTTCCCCAAACAATCCAGGCCACGTGTCTCCTCATCCTGTGTTTCCTTTTGGTTTCCGCATTGTCTCCCACCACGGTGATGAAGCTCCTTCTCCTCCTCATCCTTTTTGTTGTCTTGTAGTTCCTTACTGTTTCGGAGACCCATTGTTTTGTTTTCTGGCTTTTTTTTTCTTCCCGCTCTTTTGGTTTGTTCTCATTAACTTGCCCACGCATGCAGCAGCCTGATTTTAGGGACACCGACCCCTTCCGCATCCCCCACGCCAAGGACACGGACCCCGCGCATCCCCGGAGCTACAAGACCTGCCGACCTGAGGAGAACGACTCCTACGCCACCGAGGTGTGACATGGACAGGGAGCTGTGTCCCCTCGGCCAGCAGGGATGGGGGACAGGGCTGTGGGGATGGGGCTGCCCCTCCTGAGAGACAGGGATAAGGGAAGCAGCAGAGCCCAACTGGGGAGGGACGCGGGGAGCTGTGGCCAGGCACAGCCCACCCTCCTCATCCTCTCCCTGGCTCTGTTGCAGATGAAGGAGCTGCAACTGGTGCTGTCGGAGGCCAACGAGAGCCTGCGGGGACTGCAGGAGCAGCTCTCGCAGGAGAGGCAGCTGAGGAAGGATGAGGTGGACAACTTCTCACAGAAGATCTGCCAGGTGAGTGGGCAGCAGCCCTGATCTCTGCAAGACGGGGTGTCCCCATGGCTGTGCCAGGCTGATGGCTCTCAGGTGTCACCTGGGACTACACACAGGATGTCCCATCTTCAAGGGGCACAGGGGGCTGAGCACACCCCTCCTTGCACATGGGTGTGCAGCCGTGCAGGGCTTCCACCCATGCTGGTGCCTTGGTGACCCTGCTGTCCCCAGCACGCAGCCAGTGTGTTGCAGTTCCCCAGGGGTGTTAAATACGGGGCTGGCACCAGGCCCAGCCCAGACCCTGGGGCAGAGGCACCACATCACTGCTGCCAGCCCCCATCTCGGAGCCTGCTCACCTCTCCACAGCTGAAGGAGGACCACCAGAAAGCACTGCTGCGCCGGGAGTTCGAGCTGCAGAGCTTGAACCTGCAGAGGCGGCTGGAGCAGAAGTTCTGGAGCCAGGAGAAGAACCTGCTGGTGCAGGAGTCTCAGCAGTTCAGGCAGAGCTTCCTCCTGCTCTTCATGAAGCTCAAGTGGTTCCTCAAGCGCTGGCGCCAAGGCAAGATGGTGCACAGTGAAGGCGAGGACTTTTTGGAGGTACTATGGACTGAAGGGCTCCCACCTCAGCTGCCATGGAGGAGGGAACATACTGTTGGGCATCCCTGGGGCTGACCCTCCTGCCTGCATGTCCCACACAGGGCTGCTTGGGTGTCCCCCATCCTTGGCTCTGGGTCCCTTCATCACCCAAGCTGTGATGTCTCCCGCAGGTGAACAGCATGAAGGAGCTGTACCTGCTGCTGGAGGAGGAGGAGCTCACCCCACAGCAGCAGGCAGACAACAAGACTTGCACCGGGGACACCTGGACCCCCAACACGGTGAGCAGGGTCCCCATGAGCTATGGGGGTGGGCAGAATCAGCCCCTACCATGCTGCGTGTCATGGGGTGGCAGCTCCTCCCAGGGTGCATGGCTGGGAGGGGATGCTCCTGCACTCTTGTCCCTCACCCTGGGGGTGGGCAAAGGCTGGGATGCAGAGAGGGCAGCTCCCATGGGACCCCTTGGGTCCCCTCCAGTGTGGGGTCCTGGCTCCTTCTGCTCACCCCCGATGCCCCAGCAGCCCAACGAGTGCATCAAGACGCTGGCAGACATGAAGGTGACCCTGAAGGAACTGTGCACGGAGCTGCGGGAGGAGCGGCGCGGTGCCGGCGAGCTGCAGCAGCAGTTCACCAAGGCCAAGGCTGCCTGGGAGATGGAACGTGCCGAGCTCAAGTGCCACATCGCCCAGGTGGGAGCCCCAGGGCACCCCGTGGGGCTTGTGGGGGGGGACGTGGGGATGGAGGGGCTGCCTGTGCCGTGTGCCAGGCGCTGGCTGTCAGGCAGGGCTGGAGGCAGGGTGGGACTGTGGGGATCTC